GCCCATCCTCTCAGCCATCTCAGTGGAAAAAAGTCCTCTTCCTAACAGTTTCAGAAAAGTCCCAGAATCAAGTTTCATTGGTTCTGATGGGTCACATGTCCTCCCTCAATGGACACCAAGCTAGGAGTATCCACATCTGATTGCCAGGCCTGGGTACCAGACATGACTTCTGGTACCGGAATGAGACCCACGAAAATCAAGGCTGTAACATTGGGCAGGCAGGAAAGATTTTGGTTAGTGAGCTCCCACACCCCAATATTTGTGGAAAATTGTTACTCAAGTAGCCTGATTTTCTGTGGAATGGTAAAAGAACTGGGTCCGCTTTATCTTACCAGGGAGAAGGCTGGCTTTGTGTTTCGCTTTTAACACGTCTGGGATGAATAGGCTTGTTGGTGGTTGGACATCAGCCAGTCCTGCATCGTCATCCCGGCAACACAGCCTCATTTGTAGAGGAAACGCTGATGTCAAATCGGGTCTCTTGGGTTTAGTACCCTTTGATGCTCACACACCTAACCAGGCTGGTGGTCCCTGACTCTGTCCACCAGAATCTCCTGAGGAGCCCAGTTCACTCTGGTCAAACCCAGATCTGATCAGGTCACGTCTCTGCTTAAAAATCCACCATAGTATTTTACCACAATTAAAAAAGGACAAAGTAAAAAGAAAACAAACAAACCCCCCTACTAGTATCCCATCCTCCCCCACCCCCATTTTTTCTCCCTTAGGGGCAGTTTAATCAGTTAACATATCTTAGCGGATTATTTAGGTATTTACTTCTATGACTCTAAATAGTAGGCTTTGTGTGTCTACTTGATTTTTCTTTTTTCTTTTTTTTTTTTTTTTGTGAGGAAGATCAGCCCTGAGCTAACATCCATGCCAATCCTCCTCTTTTTGCTGAGGAAGACTGGCCCTGGGCTGACATCTGTGCCCATCTTCCTCTACTTGATGTGGGCTGCCGCCAGCATGGCCTGATAAGCGGTGCATCGGTGTGCGCTGGGGATGCGAACCCGGGCCACCAGCAGCGGAGTGTGCGCACTTAACCACTATGCCATGGGGCCGGCCCCAGCTTGATTTTTTCGATTTTAGTTATCTGTCATATTCCCCTAGACAGGATGAGATTTAGTCTCTTTCCTCCCTCTGTCCCCACCACACACCCACTTTCCCGACCCCTTCCTCTCAACAGAATTATATTGGAGTTGGTATTCGGTATTTACATTATTGCAGCTGTGTAAGTGCTGTTCACAGTGGAGCCATAGCAAACTATGATTACTTTTCCTTTTTGTGGTAGAATGCATTCTTCAGTCATTTCTGACAAAGGGTGCGTGGGAAGTAAATTGAGACTTACATAAAAAAAAATCCACTGTGTCTCCCCATTGTGCAGGGGATCAAGTTCGAAAGCCTTAATATGGCACACTTGCCCTTCCTTGCTCCAACCCCCACCAGCCCTCCCACCTGCTGCTCTTTACTCATGCTAGTCCCTCAGTCTCTAATGCCCCCTTCTCTGGTGCAGGCCCCCTTTCTTCATGGCCTGGCTTGGATGACACTTTCTTTGGGTGGCCTGCCCTGTCGTGTGTCTGTTGCTCAGTGTGTATACTGAGGCCTTCGTATTTATCACACTACATTGTGCTTATTTACTGCTTGAGTTTAAATCTTGGCTCTGCCATTTCCCGGCTCGGTGACCTTGGGCAGGTTGCCTCTTCTCTCCGTGCCTCAGTCGCCCTCTTTGTAAAAGGTGAATAACAACAATAGCACCTACCTGATAAGGTTGTTAGCAATTGCACAAACTGATGGGATTAAAGCATTTATGATAGTGTCTGCCACGTAGAAAGTTGTTCCTCTGTGCTCTGCATCCTTCTCTCTCACAGAGGCAGAGTTGGTGGGTTGTATTCACCAGTGCCCAGAATAGCTCTTGCAAATCAAACGTCTCCAGGGACTGGGGAGGGAACCTAATGAGTGAAGCAGGTTGGGTGTGATTCAGGTGCAGGGTTGGTGGGACCTGGAAAAGGCCATCTCTGTCTACAGGGGCATCTTCTGCCCCACTTCTAGCCAATGGTTGCCGGGTAGGAACAGGGGCTCAGTGTTGCCAGATCATCTGATTTTTTTTGTGTGTGTGAGGAAGATCAGCCCTGAGCTAACATCTGCCAATCCTCCTCTTTTTTTTTGGCGAGGAAGACTGGCCCTGGGCTAACATCTGTGCCCATCTTCCTCCACTTTATATGGGACACCGCCACAGCATGGCTTGCCAAGCAGTGCATCAGTGCACGCCTGGGATCCGAACCAGCGAACCCCGGGCCACCGCAGCGGAGCGCACGCACTTAACTGCTTGTGCCACCGGGCCGGCCCCTCATCTGATTTTTTTTTTCCTATGAGAAATTTGAGAATCCCCACATTTTAAAAAATATATAGATTTCCTGACATTTAGTACACAGCATACAGGCCAAAGACACTAAGCCAAATGGCCCATGGGCCACTAGTGTGGGCCCAGTTCTCATTGTACAGAAGAGGCCCAGATTGCTGATGTGACCTGCCCTGGGTCACACGCTGACTAATTTGGCCTTGTGTTTCCCACTTGTGGTCTGGACTGGATGGCCCTGATGCTGCCTCCTGCCAGGGTGGTGGCTGCGAGGATTCAGCCATGCGAGTACATTTGCAAAGCAGCTGTCTACACAGTGTAACAGGGTATTATGTCCATCACGTCAGCTACCCCTGCCTTAGAGAGACCCCCTTGGTGTTTTTTCTTTTTTTTTTTTGGTGAGGAAGATTGGCCCTGAGCTAACATTTGTTGCCAATCTTCCTCTTTTTGCTGAGGAAGATTGGCTCTGAGCTAACATCTATGCCCATCGTCGTCTATTTTGTATGTGGGATGCCACCATAGCATGGCTTGATGAGCGGTACATGGGTCCTTGCCCGGGATACGAACCTGTGAACACCAGGCCGCCAAAGTGGAGCGTGTGGGCCAGCTCCGCCTTGGTATTTTTTAATAGGATCATGGATCTCTTTTTATGTTGGGGGGGGGATTGTGTGCATTTATTGAGCACCTACTGTGTGCCCAGGAACTATTAGCTGTTTTCCATTTGCCTTCTCCTTTATTCTTCTAACAGCCCTCCGTATGAGATAGAAAGTAACTATTTTATAGGTAATAACAATGACTCTCCAAGAAGTTAGCTGATTAGGGCCTCACAGAGGTTACCCAGGATTGGATCCATCTCCTTGATAAAAATCCTGGGCTTTAGGCAACGTGCTGCCTCCCGTGTACTGGACATCAAGTCCGACAGCAGCTCAGTGGGGCTTTGCTAGTCCCTGGGATGCCCTCTTGCATCAGCGCTTTCTCTGGAGAACAAGCCTAGTCTTGCTCTCTGTCTTCAGAAGCTGTAGCAGGTTGTGCAGGCCTGGCCAGATAGGAGAGGAGAGAAAACTAAGATGATGATGGTGCAGGACTAGGGGGAGGGACCAAGGCCTGTGTCAGAAGTAGGACAGGGCTCAGGAGCCAAGACACTCCCGTACAAGGCAAAGCCTTTATCCTCATCTGCTGGAGTGCTGGCATCATTTTCAAACCCATCTAGCAAGCCCATGGCATGATATGACAGGGGAGTGAAATTAGAAGTGATCAGAGCCTCCTTCATCCCCGTGAGCCATCCCGTTGGCCCAAGAGACCCCTACAATTCAATGTTTAGAAACAGTTTTCAGATATTTACTTGTGAGGCAGGCCTTTGCAGCCAATGGAACTCACGTGTTTTACCGGCGGCCAGCTGTTTGGTCTTGGGGCAGCCCCACGGCTGGTGATCATGTGTTGTTCCCTCTTCTCTGAGTATCCAGTTCCCCTCTCTCAAATGCACGCACACGCACCCTGAAGTGCGGCGGCATCAGGCAAATGCCAAAGGGAAAAGGAGCTGAGGGGATGTGGGGCCTGTGAAGTACTGACTTGACGTTCCAATATATCCTCCTAGACTTAGGACTAAATTCCTTCTTTTAATGTTTTTTCCTCCTCGTGACATCTATGGGTCTGGTTTCTTGATTTTCACCATGTGGTTAAGCCTGCACGGCCCACCTGTCTCTTCTTCTCTTCCAACCTCTTATCGAGGCCCAAGTTGCTAGTGGCTGTCTCCAGGATGGGTGGCCATCCTCGTCTCTGGCCATTCTCCACATTACAGACTTCCAGCTTCCTTTGATTTCTTGCCACTCCCTCTCCCCTCCCCTCTGAGCGTATCTCTGCTGCCTGCTTGGGACTCAGCATTTCCTCTCCCTCCCTCAAGTGCCTTCAGGCTTCTGTGTAGGTATGATCTCTCTGGAAGTTTTCCATAAGTCTCCCAATAAACTCCTGTCTTACCTGGCCTGGTGAGGTTCTCTGCTGCTGGGTTCCATGGCACCTGGACCATTACCATCCTGGCACTGACTTTTCTGGAATGGGCTGTGAATGCCTGCTTTACCAGCAAGACTGGAAGTGCCCTAAAGGCAGGGACCAAGCCCGAGGCCAGCACAGGGTCTGGCTTGTGGGAAATTTGCACTCAGTGTTTTAATGGTGACCACGTCATATGGTTGAGGACCATATGGGAGTGTAGGAAATGGTGCCATCATTAGGGACTGAAGCTATCAGCTGTGGCCAAACTGGACACCTTTCCCCGAGGACCTGGACAGAGCTTTCTAATCTAACCTGCGCTATCCAATATAGTAGTCACTAGCCACATTTATCTTTTGATTTAAATATATTTAATTAAAATAAATTAAAACTCATTTCCTCAGACTCACTAGCCAATTTCAAGTGCTCAGTAGCCACATGTGGCTAGTGGCTACCGGACTGGACAGTGCAGATGATGGAACCCTGCCAGCATCACAGAAGGTTCTTTTGGGTGGTGCTGCTGTGGACGCTGTCTTGTGAAGGTGTTAATTTAGGGGCTTGTGGGTTGTGTGAAGGCCCTCCTAGGTGTTTCTGGTTAGGTAAGGCAGATCTTCGCAGATTCCTTGTTAAGCCTGAACTGTGTTTCCTCGATTTCCCCTGGCTGCAGGACGCTCGTCAGAAGTTCCGCTCTGTTCTGGTTGAAGCAACAGTGAAACTGGATGAACTGGTGAAGAAAATTGGCAAAGCCGTAGAAGACTCGAAGCCCTACTGGGAGGCGCGGAGGGTGGCGAGGCAGGTAAGAGAGCCCTGCAGATCGCCTCCCCTGCCTCTGCCCACCACCCCACTGGTGCGCTGGGTGCACCTTCTGACTTATCTCCCGCCAGAGGTCAGAAGTGGGAGTCCTGTGTGATGTGCAACAGCAGTGACTTTGTAAACAGCTGCATCTGAAGTCGGCCTCTTATTTTCCTTCCCCCGACATCGGCCTTCATTACAGCTCTTGATAACCTTTAATAGAGGGTGGGTGCTGGCATTGGGGTGACCCTGTGAGTGGGCGCCAACTTGCCCTGGAGTTGGTGCCCAGGCCCACTTCCCAGGCAGTGGGACCAGCTTATGTGGATGAGAGGATGTGTCCAGAACATCAGGCTTGTTCCTCTGCCCTCTCGAATGACTGCCTGTCAGGCAGCAGGAGGAATACTTGCCCCCTTGCATTCTCCTTGCTGGTTTGGGAGTAATTAGTTATTTGCTTCTCTTGAAACATTGGTTCTTTGTCCTGAGAGCCCAAGTAAGCAACTGAGGAACAAAGACCAGAAAAGGGGTCATGCGATTGCTGGGGGCTGCGTGGAAGTTGGTTCTGGTTTCAGTGTGTGTCTTCCTTTGATCGCCACCAGTGTGATGCAGTGTGGCCGCTTGTGTCACCTCCCCCCTGGTAGCCAGGCCCTGTGAACGAGGAAGGAAAGGAGCCCCCAGGACTTCCCGGTGCCTGCTGTGCGCCAGGCCCAGGCCCGTGGGCTTCCCGCTCCGTGTCTCTTCAGTGCGCATCGCGACCCAAAGCAGGCCTAAGCGGTTGGTCCAGATTGTAGTTTCTGTGCCGGTTGTGTGTGATGGGAGATGCCGCCTCCAAAAGTCTCCACTTGTAAGAAAATGTTTCATGAGTGACAGGTGTCTGAGCACCTGCGGTGTGTGTGCAGCATGTTGGACACAGTAGGGGAGATGATGGGAGGGCGAACCCTTGGGAAATTAAGCTCAGAAATCTAGGAACGTGTTAAGATCAGGCTCATCAAGGGTTGGGGGCCAGGACTTGAGCATTTCTCCTCGTTGCCCCGCCTGCACGCATGTCTCCAGTTTCTCATCGGGATCCCCTGGATGCTTGGCTGTCTTACCGAGATCCTAGCTATGTATTTGGGTTTTGTACCCTGAACCCTGAGCTGAGGTTTCTGGTTGGAACCTGCTGGATATGTTGCCTTTATTCCTGGACAGGATGGTGCCTGGAACCCTTCCTCCTTCCCTGGCCTGGTGAACTGGGCTGCACAACATCCAAGTGCCGGTTACTCGTTGGTCTGCAACAAGCCCTGAGCAGCTCCCTCCTTCCGCCTCCCTCTGGGCCCCACCCAGGCCTCTAGCTTTCCAGGGAGATGGAACCCTTCTCCAAAAGGTCCTCACGAGTCCCCAGAAGATCCAGAACCCTGAGGCGCCCTCCCTCCAAAGTGCCCCCCAAGCTGGGGCTGTGTCCCACCACTGTAGCCCAGGGGAGTAGTATTCTTGACCTAAAATTGCGGTACAAAGGGTTCGGGTTAGGTTTGAGGGGAAGCTTCTGATAATTTAATGTAAACATTGGATCAATACTGAGGAGGTCATGAAATCTCCTTTTCTGAAAATCTTCAACACTTGACTTGATTGTCCTCTAATTCTTTTGAGCTCACAAACATCTATTAAAAAAACATCTGTGTGCCCGCACCTCAGGATGACGTAAGAGTGGTCTGTTAAAGCATCCCCCCGGAGTCGGGACAGTGGCATCTCTACCCGGTCCCCTGAGCTCAGATTTTGGGACAGAGCTGGCTAAAGGGACCTCTGCATTCAGGGGCCTCTGGAGATTGGTTCATCAGCTCGCCAGCCCCAGCCGATGGACGGTGTCCTCATTGGGTTGTGCTGATGTCAACGTGCTTCCACCTCTGAGTCTTTGAACTTGCTCTGTTTGTCGTCGTCTTAACCCCGGAATTTGCACGGTCCACTCCCTCACCTCCTTCAGGCGTCTGCTCCAGTGGGACTTTATCAACAAGGCCTTCCTGGGCTAACATTAAATGTAACTCCCTGCCCACCATCTCCGCCACCCCCAATCCTCATTCCTTGATTTGCTTTTTCTCCCCAGCCCTCCTCACCACCTGACTTGTCATTGTTTACTTGTTTACAGTAGTGAAGCTTCACAGGACAGGGAGTTTTGTCTGTTTGGTTCGTTGCCGTGTGTAATGCCAGCGTACAGAAGGTGTTCAAACATTGAGCAAACAAATAAAGGAACAAACAAGTAATTGATGAGGTTGACAGGACACCAGTGGACCAGGTGTTCCTCCAGGGCCCCCTGACATTTTGAGCTTTTCCTCTCCGTTGCCCCTTTACTCACAACTGCTTTCCTGCCTGGTGGCTAGGTAAGCAGAGGGACAGGAACACAACTGGCAAGTCCAGCTTCATCTGGGTTGGGTTCATTCAAATCTAATTTGGTGGGCGGGTCCCCAGTTGGTGGTGACACATCTGGAGTAGATTTCACACCTCTCCCTTCTTTTCTGTACCCCAATCCTCTGTGATGGGAAAAGGGGAGGGAGCTGGGTTGGGAGGGTCCCACTGCTGCGCAGCAGTGGGCTGTGGCATTGCTTCTTCCTCTCATCTCTTGGCCAGTGAGGACAATGGTCATGGCAATCACTGAGTCCCATGGGCAAGCCACTGAGTCACCAGATCTAATCAGATAACTCCCAGACCTTGGGGGTGGCTGACTCACTCTCAGACGGCAGAGCCCACGATGAATATTGAAGGAATCCTGCCCAGTGTATGCCTGCAAACCCTCCCCTTAAACTCCTGCCTTCTTGTAAGTGGGACAGGAAGAAGGGCAGAGAAGGTTCTGAGTGACCCCTACTCCTCAACCCCGAGGGATCTTGTTGGTCTATAGCCAAGGAACTGGAAGGACACTCAAAGGCTGAGACTGGGCCCAGATGTCACACTTCATCTCCGTGGATGGTGGGTCCTCTGGGCTTGGGCCAGGTGGCTGAGTCTGCCTGTACACCAGCATCCTCTCACCTTCCTGTTAGTGAAGGGGGTGGGGCCCACTCCAGCTGCTACCAAGTGGGGCTTCCTGTTTTCTTCCTCTGGTCTTATCCCCACCCCTTCCTTTTTATATTTGCAAACCTCTCTGACTCTGGATAGCAGGGATGGTCTCTGAGAGATGCTGCGTTCCCAGAGCCTTAGCATCTCGTCCATGAAACAGTGATGGTCATGGGACCAGCTGTGGCTCTCTCATGAGGTCGTCCTTAGGACTGAAATGACATAATGTGTTTGACAACGGACTCTCTGCATAAGCTTACATTTCATCTTCATTAAAAAAATGTTTGTTGTTGTAGAAAATAAACAAAAAGGAGAAAATAAGTCCCTATACTTTCTGTAAATATTTGATATATATCTTCTTTTTTTTTTTAAATAAAAGATCATAATGTAATGTTGGTTTTATAATAAACATGTGGAATCCCCATGCCCATCCATCCAGAGTCTCAATGGAACACTCTCTCCTACAGCTTTGTTTTCCATAAAGAGTTTACAAAGATTTGTAATTGTTGGGCCAGTAGAAATTGTGTCTGCCCGTCAAAAATTAGCATTAACTTTATTGTTCCTGATGTCTACTCATTTTCCTACCAGCAAGTCAGATCAGTCCCGTGATCTTGAAAACCCAGTCCAAATTCTGCCAAGAGGAGGCGGAGCATGGTGTTTTTGTTTTGTTTTGTTTTGTTTCCTGGGCTGGGATTGGAGCAGGGAAATGGCTTTGATTTATTTCAGGGTTTTTGTTCTTCTTCTTTTTTTTTTTTATAAAGATTTTATTTATTTATTTATTTTTCCCCCAAAGCCCCAGTAGATAGTTGTGTGTCATAGCTGCACATCCTTCTAGTTGCTGTATGTGGGACGCAGCTTCAACATGGCCAGAA